TTCCTTCCTTCATCTAGGGTGTCAGGGATTTTGTCCCAGCAACCACTAAAAAGATAGCAAGCCACTGGGGGGGGGGGCGGGCGAAGGAATAAACATTATTAAGAAATATTAAAAATAGAAATGATCACAGCTAAATGGCCAGGGAGAGGTGTTTATAATTAGACACTAGGGGTCTAGAGGCAAACTATTCTGGTTAATATCTATTCACCAATACTCTCCTGGACCACATCACCATCACTTTATCTAGAGAAAACCCTTAATTTCTCTAACCTGAGGATAATTTACTGTTCTTACTCTTCTATTAGACTATGAAACTGATATGGTTTTATAATCATTTGACTTCTCGACACTGGACAGAAGCACGCAGATCTGCAGGAATGTAGAGCCAGTCCCTTCAGGACTCTCAGGGTGGCACAGGCCTTGTGACAAGGTGCTAGGGCGCTACCCAGAAAACACCTCCAAATGAGGCATGAGCCCCTGTCACAGAGCAAGCAGGTTTGCCTGGCTCTCTTGACACACTCCTCAGTCAGTTCCCTGGCACCACATGGGCTGGTGAGGACGCAAAGCTTGGGTCTACCTTAGTGAGAAGAGACTCGTGAGCGTTTTTGGTATATTTAGTGAGGTTTTAAGGTATACACACATGCATGCCCAAGTTCCCCTGATGTTCAGCCACCAAGAAATAACATGAAGGGGCCGGGGAGATGGCTCAGTAGAATAAGTGCTTCCCTGGCAAGCGCAAGGGCCTGAGTTCAATCCCTGGTTCCATCAAAAAAAATAAGAAAGAAACAACGTGAAGAAGATTCGAGAGCCAGATCCTTTTCCCCTCCACTGAATCATGCCAGACACCCACTGCCACTGAAACTGTGGCTCTAACCATGGGAACACAACCCAGGCAACTAAACAAGTGCAATTCATCAAAATTTGAGGGCAGATCACAGTACTCATGAGCACTAAACTGGAGCATCATGTGAAGCTTAAGGTAAATGCCACTGTTCTCCCAGGAGATGAGATAAACATATATGGCATAAAATACGCACTGCCGTTCACTCTGCCACGAGAGCTCACCTACATCAGAGGGCAACTTAACTCACCTCTGCCTTAAGACTTCCTACGGCTCCTGGTGCGAGTGGACACAGCACCCATGCACCTGCACATCCTGCCCGAACTCTTCCTCCTGGCTTCTGGCTCGCCACCGTTCGTCACTCACTCATTGCTCCAGGTCACCATTTCCAACATGAGCAGTCACTAGTCAACTGTGCTTCTTCCTCAGAGCTGACCACTCACACCCTTCCCACAGTCCAACCTGGCTGTCCTCCAGACAATAATAAACCACCAGTATCTAATTGTTTTTCTTTGAAAAGTATCACAAATATATAGGAAAATTCAGATTCAAACTAAAGATAAGAATGATTATATGGCTTAATGAATCATATTTTATTAAGTATTTAGTACAGGGTCTATAGGTTCTCACTACACAGATCAGACTCGTAGTGATCCTCCTGTTTTTCAGCCTCCCAAGAGCTGGAATTATAGGGGCTGGGGAGATGGCTCAGTGGAATAAACACTTCCCTGGCAAGCGCAAGGGCCTGAATTCAATCCCCAGTTCCGCAAAATAAATAAATAAAATTTAAAAAGAGCTGGAATTACAGGCGCGTGCTACCACGCCCAGTCTCAATCTACACTCAGTGTGCCCCAGGGGCGGGGCCAGCAAGGCATACCAGGGATTGAACCCTGGTCCCTGTGTCTGCCTAAGCAGGTGCTTTTATCTGCTAAGCTATCTGGACAGCCTTCAGATTTTAAATAGTAAACTCTTTCGGTACTTTTTAAATGGGAGTTGATTTGCAAATAAAAACTCACCCACAAAACATTTCAGCATATATTCACACTGTCTAGTGCTGTTACTTATCAACTTAGCTCTTAAGTATTTAAGAAATTACCATTTGTTTCTGTTTACCCATTTCAAGTGTGAACAAGTGTTTGTGACAATGTGAAGATGGAGGAAGAAGAAGAGGAGGAGGAAGAAGAGCAGCAGCAGGAAGGGACACATAATTTGCAGTGTGACAGGGTATCATCAGGAATGAGCTCTCGGGCTCATTTCATCATCATCTTTGCAGTGCTGGTGGATCTGTGCTGCTTTACTCTCTGTCCCTCTGCACCGCTCGGTCTGTAGGCAAGGACAGAAGGTAGTTACTGCCACACAGCCTGCTGCGCTCTGAAGCGGTGTCAGGGACAGCCTGTGACTGGAGCACAGCTGCCTCATTCCCCCACTCTGGGGAGGAAGGACCCACCTTTCCTCATCAGTATTCAGAAGAGTGCTGGGCGAAAAGGTCTAATCTGGGAGGCACAAGAGGCCGGGCTTTTACACTATAAGACCAGGCAAAAAGTAAGGGCAGCAAGCAGGAGATTAGAGGAAAACATTAGCGGATCTACGTGAAACCATTAGAAGAAATCTGCAGCTCTTGACAACTTTATAAAATAAAATTTAAACACTTGAACATATTTTCTCATTAACTCAGCACAATGTATCATGAAATACATGTACACTGTGTAACATTATTTTCAACCACATGACCCAAAGTACAGTAAAGACAAAGTAACAGTACACATCAGTCATTTCTAAAAGAAAACCCACAAAATACAGAAATTAAAGAATAGTGTTTAATTTAGATCAGAAAACTTTGCTTTGTAAAAAACAGTAAAATCATAAAGTGCACATATTTACAAATACAAAAGCCATTATCAGCTCAGAGTTCAACAAAAACAGTAATGCTTTTTAGAGTCCTTCCTGTGTGATCTCTCTCCGTTCTAAGAGGTTTTTCTTTTAATTGTATATATTTGGTATAGGGTTTCACTATGCTGCTCGGATGTGGTTCTTCTGCTTCCACCTCCCCAGTGCTGGGATTACACACACGTGCCACCACGCCTGGACTCAGTGGTCAGCTCAGCACGCCTGGGGTGGGGCCAGCACGGCATGTGGATCAAACCCGGGTCCTTGTGCTTGCCTAGGCAGGTGCTTAGATGAAGAACTGTCTCTGCAGCCCTCTAGAGGTTTATATGTATCCCCTTGTTTAATTTCATAATTCCGTGAGGTAAAGAGAATTATCATCCCCAATTTACAGCCAAAAAACTGAAGCATAGAGGTTAAGTAATTTGCCCAAGGTATAATATAATTAGCAAATGGTAATTATTTAATTATCTTGAAATCTCACACAGATGATTAAAGAATGGTCATACAATCTAAATCAGCTAAGGAAAATGCTTGGCATGACAATTCTACACATGTGGGTTCACTCCCAATCCACTCATAGCCCCGCCTGTCACTGATTTATCTTTATCTTACCTGAACGGAATCAGGGGAGGAGGGGGAAGAAGGCAGGGAGAGAAGGGGGAGAGAGGGAGGGAGAGAAAGGAGGAGGCGCAGAAGGAGAGCAGGTACACCTTGGTCAACAACTGAATGGGGGGGGAGGAGGGGGAAGGAGCAGGGAGAGGGGGGAGGGAGGGAGGGAGCGGAAGAAGGAGCAGGTGCACCTTGGTCAACAACTGAATCGGGGGAGGAGGGGGAAGGAGGCAGGGAGGGGGGGAGGGAGGGAGGGAGCGGAAGGAGGAGCAGGTGCACCTTGGTCAACAACAAATGAAAACACAAGGCCAAGGATGTATCTTAGGGGCACAATGCCTGTCTAGCAAGCATGAGGTTCTAAGTTCAATTCCTAACGCCAAAAGACAAAACACAGTGGGATGGGCAGGCTAACTTACAAAATTACTTGTCATTTTAAATATTTCATTTGATTTACCTTTAAGCAGCAAGCTACCTAATATTTTTTCTCTTAAAAAAAAAAACCACCAAAATCCTGGACTAACACTTTCAAACAACACACATATTCCACAGTGAGAAGTACAGCCATACAATAAAGTTGAACAAGGCATATAGCATTACTGTTACGTCTAGGACCCAACTATGTAAGAGTTACGGTTTCTCTCAGGAATATGAAGACACAAGGAGCACTTTTCTTTAAACATTCACAGTAGAGATAAATATTGAGACTATTCCATAAAGGGAATATTAATTCTTATTTATATTTATCTGATAAACTTGAATAGTTGCATGAATATTATGGCTAGATCTAGATCTGTTATTCAGACTACATTTAGCTTTCCATAAAAGCACTCAAGTGTAAAGTACAATGGTACCCTGGTTCAGGAAGCCATGTAGCTGATGTTGCCCATGGGAATTTTGCCTTGGGCAGTATTTTTCATTGGCCTGGTATATGCAATCAAAATATGGTACTTGTATATAGCTATCGTTAAAATAAGAGAAAAGGGTACAGAGATGGTCATTATTGGGTAGCACTGTTCCTGTTAGCTAGAAGCTGGGCCTTTGTGTCCTGACATGGCCGTAATGCATGCTTGGCTGCTGGGCTGGTCACTGAGTGTAGCTAGTAAGGATCACTCTACCTTAATATACATTCCCCAGACAGTGCTACACCATGCATTTAACTTATCATGTAAGGGGATCACTAGGGAGAGAAGATAAGAACAATTCATCAGTGGTGAATGGCAAATGTGTGGAACAAATCTTTGGCTCCTATTAGATTTGGTAATGCCGGGACCTCCCATCGAGTGTGCATGTCGAAGATGCTTACTAACTGCTCAGTTGTGAGCAGAACACCACACCTGCTGGGCAGGCAGCTCATCTGGAATGCGTGCTTACCCTAGACAAGAGGTGACTGAAGTACTCAGGATTGTGTTCTTAAGAGAAGCAAAAAGAGGATGACTTTTTAAAAAGACAATAATAATAAAAATGATACAGAATTTCAAAACAAGATGATAGGAAATTAACAATGCAACCAGAGACCATACTCTTAAGTGAAATAAATCAGACTTGCATGTGTAAACATCATTTTGTCTCCCTTATGGAAGAAACTGGAAGTATAAGATCCAAAAGGGACAATAGACATTGTGAAAGGGAAAGAGGATGACATATTTACAAGAAAGCTGCTTACCTTACAAACAGAAAGAATGTTAATATTTAGCAGCCTTTTGATGACCTGCAAAACATGATAATTTGACATAGATTTACTATAGAAATGACCATATTTGAGATGTGCCCAGATAATCTGGCCAGACACCAAAAGTTCCCCGAAATTACAGAAGCCTTGAACAACTGGGGCTGGGAGGAAGAGACAGACTTTACGCTCACACTGATAGTATTTTTCTGACATAAGCAGCAATTTATGCTAATATGCACAATCTAAGGTTAACGTGCGAATAAAAGTTGGAAATGAAAAATCACATCTAAAATAAACAGAACACTTTGGAATTTACCTTCTGCTAATATGGAAAGTAGAAATAATTGTATCTAAATTTTTCAGATTTTTAAAAACTGGCACAGGCCCTCAAGGACGAGTCTTCCCAGTTTTTATTAGATTATGGATGTATCAAAGGTGCCGCTTTCATTTCAGTAGAGCTGGTTAACCTAAATCAACCATGCTGCTAATGCATTTACGATTTTTAAATTGATTTTCAAATCCTAATAAAATAGAGCTGTTTTGATATAATAATAAAACTGCAGCAATTATTGGTCCTGGCTCCGTATATACGATTATAGGCATTTCTCATTCAATGCCTTCAGCATTCCTATGACACTGCCTACTGTGTGGTGAGGAACCAGAGGCTAAGAGTGTCTCGCTTCACCCAAAGACTAACTCAAGTGTAAACACAAGAGCCAGGGTAGCTGGGCTCCAGTGTTCACAGTCTAAATCATTATACCAAGTTGTCTCACTAATACCCGAACACATTCTTTCTGTTACCATAAGAGATAAAGAAAAACTCACATTGTCCAAGTCAGGAATTTCCAAAAAGTATTCAGGATACTCATAGGACATGCCCACGTTGTTCACTGAAATAAGATAAGACCATGACATTAGCCAACTAACATATATTTTCAAGATTCCTTGAAATGATGGGATGAAAGCTATCAAGCTGAAGAGGATACATACAATTAGATAAATGTAGTTTATGTCTGGAGTGATGTTTCCTAAACCATCCTACCCCCAATCTGTCCATCCTTAAAATCTAGTCAAATGTCTTCCTCCATCAAGCCTGTCTGTCTACACTTAGCCTGTCACCCCCGTCAAAAGGACCTCTGTTCAACTCCACGTTCCATTCCATTCTCCTTCTGCAATGCAGTTACTTGTAGATATTGCTACAGTCTTCTCTCCAGCTTACATTTTCCTAGGACAATAGACAGAGTAGAGAGAACTCTAGGGCAGGAAACTGGAATCTGGAGTTCTGGTTATAAGTACTTGGGAAAGCATGTAACCTGGGCTAAGTCATGTACGATACATGCCTAAGATGAGAGCTTTTAGTCAGTCAACGAATATTTGCCACATAGTTTTGGGTAAGGCATATACAAGAAACAAGCAGAGAGCAAATGATGGCCTTTACAATCCAGGAAGAGAGTAAAGGTGTTCAGCTGAAGACTCAAACTCTTCCCTAACGAAGTACAGAAGCCACAGGCGGCTACTCAGGGAGTGCCTGACTCCACCTGGGGCGGGAGGCAAAGCTGCTTCTCTGGCAGCCAAGAGAGCAGATCAGACTGAATGTCTCTGCTAAATCCTCCCCAAAGGCTGCCGTCATTTTTTTTTTCCTTGTATCTCTACTTTCCAATCAGCTAACCTAAAGTTAGAGCTATAAGACTACTGGTATGAATACATAAATTTATGCATAATACTAGACATATATTCTCATACTCAGATATCCTGTGATTTTTCTCTAGCCCCAGAAAGAAAGTCAATGACACCACTGAAGGAACATTTGCTGGACTCAAAAATGATCTAGAATCTCTAAATTGGTAGTAACTAATTAATGCAATGGATTATCCATCTACCTACACACGTTTAATCATCACAACAATCCTATTAGGCAGAGTTTCTTTTATTATCTCCCTTTTAGGCATCAGAAATGAAATTTATAGTGGTTAAATAACTTCGCCAAGATGCCAGAACTCAAGCCCAGGAAATGTGACTTTGTTACTTTTTTTCCCTAGTAGTGGGCACTGAACTCAGGACACTGCTTGCCAGGTAGGCACTTGTTCTGACTTTGAAAATCTGACTCTTACCTATATGAAGGCCATCATATTCCTTTATCAAGGATGCAATTCTGAAGAAGTGATTAGTAATAACTAGTAGTGAACAAAAACCGGAAAGCCACATTTAATAATACTGAAATATCAGAAAAGTTTCAATTGCAAGATAATAAAATTATGATGGGTCCACTAAAGGTTATAAGTACTGTGCCAAATAAACCTGATAATAGTAATTTTTAACAGACTAACAAAATTCTTAGCTGAAAGGAACTCTGTAAGGGTTCCACATTTAGCTAAGACAGTCACTTGAGGCATCAAGTTTCCAGTTTACTTGCAAAATTCAGTCAGCATGATTTGAACAAGACCACTGAAAACTGTCTGAAGACATGTAAGCAAAGGATAGCAGCAAAGCAAACTGCATTTAATTAGCGCTCGTGGCCACGCAAATAGGAACAGCACCTAAATCTAGTAACAGAAGGTCTAAATTAATTTTTATTTTATTCAATAGGATCTCCCTCCACTGGGGGTCCCAGGAATCAATTCTCAAAAATAAATAAATAAATAAATAAATAAATAAATAAATAAATAAATAAATCTGCTAACAAATTAAGCCCAAACTAGTTGAAGGTAAGGCTTTTTATTCACTTGACTTTTCTTTAACCAGTATGGTAATATAAAAAAATGAATCATTCATTTAAAGTATGTTTGAGAGAAACCTAAATATTTACTAAAATGTTATATATAAAACACTAACGAAGTCAGCTTAGGATAGTAATATTTGAGGAAAGGAAAGCTTTTGTCAAATTGTGACACGCTCTACAACCTAAAGCGAACTACATCACATACAGCTAATTCTATCTCCCACTCCCAAAAAGCATTTTATCCTCAGATTTCTTTGGAACCCATAGAAGTATTAATGCTATATTTCAAAATGCTAATGGAAATTAAACAATATAATTATATAGACCTCTGAAAGCTCAGACTGGGTGTGTCTTTTGATCTTTGGTCTAAAAACCTTAACATGTGCTACAAATACAACACTGACTGAGGGAGGCCCAGGAAGAGCCGAGGAAGCAGGAATCCGTGTTCTGGTTACGGCTCTGTTAACAACGCACCATCCTCAGGTCTGTCTCCGCTAAAGCATCATGGGAAAACGATCAAGGTGTCTATTCACACAGCAAAAAATGGAAATATTTAACACAGGTGCTTAAGAAAACATGTTCAGTCTAGAAAGTAAATACTACCATGTACTATGGTTTTATTAGCATAACTATAAATAATAATTAAGAGCATTAAGTCTCATTTTTTAAGGGGAAATCCATTCGCATGGCCATGGGAGCAATTTTATACTAGGCATCAAAATTCCTACGCCCATGTCTGACCAGATAGTTCAGGGGATTAAAGCACCTGCTTAGGCAGATGTAGGAACTGGGGTTCGATCCCTGGTGTGCTGTGCCAGCTCTGCGCCCAGGGCACACTGAAATGGGGACTGAGACTAGATGTGGTACTGTGCGCCTGTAATTCCAGTGCTTAGGAGGCTGAAAACAGGAGTATCACTACGAGTCCGATCTGTGTAGCGAGACCCTGTAGACCCTGTACTAAATACATTAAAGAAACAAACCAACCCTAGGCTCCTTTTTTCTTTCTTAACTGACTGCACAGTTACCTTGTGCAATGTACACTACTCATCCTCTTGCCGCAATAATGATTACTTCAGAATGCTAGAACTTAGAGAACGAAGAGAAACATAAGCTGTTCTTGTTGGTACTCAGAAAATGATGCTCTAAAATATGGTGCCTTGGTATGCTCTTTGAAATGAAAGGTGAAGAGGGGTCAGCAGACTCTCGGTGAGGTTTCTCTCTGGAGTTCTCTTATCCACTAAAGACTGGATCCACTGGAGAGGAACACAGCTGCCTTTATGAAATTTCATTTAACCAAGCAGAATGAAACTCGATCACCGAAGACTGAACATCGAACATCACACCTTCAACCCAGAGAAACAGGCCACTGACTGTCCCCTGAGCCTGTTCACTTCCCCACCCTTGGGAACTGCCCACCTGCCTGCTTCTCCCTTTACTACAAAGCCCCCATCATCCACCTGGATCCTTAAATTTCATATTTTGTGTGGTTCCCGTGGTTCCCGTGCACACGGGCACGATAATAAATTTGCATGCCTTTTGTCCTGCTAACCTCTTATCATCAGCTGATCTGTTATGGACTCAATTATTAAGGCTCCAGCTTCCCTACATGCTCAAATAGTTATTTCCAGAAGCTGCAGAATAGCAGGGCTTCTTTTGGAAAACACGAACCCACTGCAATTTTAATTTGAGACATTAGGTGGCAGCAGTAACCAGCCAGCAGTCAGAAAGCTTTAAGGCAAAAGCAAAAAAGGAAAACAGGCTTTGGAGTAGGAGTGAAAGATGGAAATATTCCCAGTATAATTTAATCTTGTTAAGAATGGGTGCAGACAATGCCATTTCTATATATTACAAGGTTCTTTATAGCACTCATAAAACCAAGCAATTCTGTGTTGTTTTGTCATTCCGAAAGTTGAAAATGCCTTCTAAATGATAGTATCTTAAATTAGCCTTACATGCCATATTAGTGAATTTTCCTCTGTAGTTCTTCAAGGGAGACACCGGAGATGGGTTACGTTGTTTTTCAGTGAAATGAAAAAGCCTTTGGCTTGTCTGCCACATGGTGTCCTTCAGAAAACCAAGGATGTCTCTGACTGGCTTTATTCTTACTCCTCCCTCCAGTCAGCACCACAGGGCCTCAGACACAGTATCTTCCCCATGGCTTCTCACTGGAGTGCTGGATGAGTAGGAAGAGGCCTCCGAAGGAGACAGGCCAAGAACCAGGACAAGGGAAGTAGCAGAAGCCAGGGCACGCAGAGGGCCAGTTCTCAGGGTGGATCTTGGGAGAGTGAGAGGGCCCTCCAGAGACAGGCAGTGGTGAGCCGTGCTTAGCCATCCCGCGCAGACCCCATCGTGCAGACGCCATCGGAGGGGAGGGCCAGGAAACAATGTCACTGTGGGGGTGGGGGGAGGATGCTGAAACTCCACGGAAATTCTGAGTGTTACATAAACAGTCTGAATTGTACCCTGACACTTGGAAGTAATCATTCCCCTATCTGATCCTTTAAAGAACATTCACAAGAGTATTTTGTTCTTAAGTTCGCTTGATCTCATAGACCTAGAATCTCTTATCAAACCAAGCTGCCACAAACATAATGATGTCATTATCAAATTAGTTTGTTATCTGGGTTAGAAGTAAGGGAGGAAGGAACAAACACTAAATTACTAGAAAATGAAAATCCACTCCTACGGGTAACCCACACCGACCACGTTCAATACGCTTCTTTTCCTTTAGATTAATTGGAACTATAAGAAATTAATGCAGTTAAAAAAATTAATGTGGTTTAAAAATACTTAGCCTAATGGTTGAATTTCTAATTTGAAATCAAGTAATATAAAATATTCTCTATTTTCTTATGATATCAAAGTAGGATATCATAGTAAGGTTACATTTCAGTTACTTTTGTAGTAACAGGATCTAATCCAGTACCAGCACTCAGAGGCCATTGATAAAAACTGCATCAAACATGCTACTCCATTATATTTTGAAATAAACTGAATTTTTGAAATATATGCCTCAGTGAGGCCTTCAGCCTTACTTTTCTGAGCTTAAATTTTTACAAAAGGAGCTGAATAAGTAGCTCAGGGGTAGAGCAGCACTTGCCTAACACGTGTGAGGCCCCAGGTTTGGCTCCCCAGCATAGTGTGGGGAGGGGATATAAAGGCGAAAAATCC